ATATTATATTATATTATTATAATACCTTCCACTTTGCCTACACTTATAAGTGAATTGAATATTTTCAATGTGTCTTAGAGATATATTTACATTTCTCTTTAGCTTTTAAACATTTTTTTAAATTAACATTGTAGTTTCACTTATGAGCACTGGCTTCATAAGAGCCCCAAAAATGTCTGTGTTTGAAATATTAGTTAGAATGTTAAAAAAAATCATATGTAACATTTTGCTCTGACGCAACAAATCTATATTTGTCGTTTTGTTAATTCTTTTTCGTTAGATCCATTTTTTAATTATTATTTTTGTTTGTTCTGGTTCCATGCTATCATTTGTATCTACAGAATGTGTAGTATGGACATTTTTTTTAACTCACTAATTTCTTTTTTGACMTTTGGTTAGTCTGGCTTGGTTTTTGTGCTCTTTGGTGCCAGGTTAGATGAAGTGATTTGTGGATTAAATCTAGTTGTCGTTGTCTTGTAGGTACCCCGTCTGGAGCTCTAGCTTCCTACTCTAGTGGCGGAGGTTACTCATCTTCTCTCTCCCTCTCGCAGGGTGGAGGTACTTTCTCATTTTATTTTCTCCATCATATGTCTATTGTTTTCTGTCCTGTCACATATCATGTCCTACTTGGGTCGTCCAACCCCTCTGGACAAAACTTCTCACATCAACATCCTCAGTAGCTGCAGGAAAATATTAAACAAAGTCTAACTTTGAAATTGAATAAATATAATGCTTTTGATTGTTTTTTTCCTCTTAACTGGAAGCTAATTGATTATTTAAAGATAAGTGTTTTGTAGATGCAAAATAATAATCAGGTCTTCACAGTCCTGGCTTAGATGAAACAAAATGCTGAAAACTGGAAAAAKATTGTAGTTTGTAGTTTTTGTTATATTGAAATCAGTCAGTTAAAATTTAGCAGATTTTGTCTGCAGTTTGCATTGTTTTGTGTTCAGGTTTGATTCTGACCTGTTTTATTCTTCTCCTGCTGACAGGAGCCATCAGCCCGCTGAGCGCTGCAGCGGCGGCGGCAGCAGCTGCAGGTCGTGTCGCCCTGTCCGGGTCCGGAGTGTCGGGGGTCCTGCTGGCGTCCAACCTAAATGAAGAGGTAAAGTTACCCCAAAGAAAACTAAACAAGTTTTCAGTTTTAWTGATTCATCCTTGTGAATCTTTGAGTGGGTGTGTGGTTGGATGTGTGCTGTGTTCAATTTACAGCAGGTTATTTATTTATTTATTTACAGATTCTATTTATTCTTTAAAATATGAATCTTCCACCTACGGTGCATTAAGGCTGGAATAGTTCAGATTAGTCACAGGATGMCTGTCAGTCATAACCAGATTTAAAATAATAAATTGTTTTTAAGCCTAATATTATTCTAATAGCAGATTGTTATAACTTGCATAATGTATTCCGACATCATTTGACAAGTATTTAATTTAAAATGGATACTTTTATTTTTTAAAAATATTTCAAAAGGCAGTTTTTAATTAAATTTCAGTGTTTTCTGTTCTTGTTTAGTTTCTAAAATCTTTTATTTCTAACTCTGAGAATGCATCAGACTTGTCATTTCTGTACATAATGATAGTTTGTGAGGCTGTGCATGTGTTTACTGCTGTAGTTGATTTCTTTTTTAATTTAAATGGTTTTTCCTATCGTTGAACTGTCGCATGTTTTAAACGCTGACGTCCTTTCATCCATTTTTTTTAGTCTGATTCTAAAACTTTGGAAGCCTTGTCCTTATTTCTGTACCAACAACTTAAATGTGTTTGTGTTTTTATCTGTTGTTAATCTGTCAATGTTGTTGAATTTTTATTATTTTTTTACTATAAATGTGCAAAAACTCTATAACCTATAACTCTACAGCTACAGCATCTGTTGCCTTTTCTTGTCTTCATCTTTTCTCTCTTTTTCTGTTTGTTCGTCTCTGATGAGAAGATAAGATCGCAGTGCAAGAGTTGTCTTTTGGCTGTTTCAAACCACCTCGTTTGTTTGTTTGTTTTGTTTGTTTGTGATTTGTTAGCTTGATATCAGCAGATATTTAGGAGTGCTGTGCAGAGAGACATTGAAACGAAGAAGTATGTTTTCAGCTAAAGATAACTGAGCAAACAATGTTCTTGGTCCTGTTATAGTTTGTAAAACAACAGAGCCAATAGTATTAATACTTCAGATACCAGAGCTGAGGATTAATCTTCTTTAAAAAAATCTTGACTACATAAAAATTCTCACATTTTTAAATTGTGAAATGTACAAAACAATATGAGCAGTCGGTCTGAACTGTGCCAGTAAGTCTTGTATCAGAGTCAATGATCTGCAGACAGGTTGTGCAGAACTGATGAACTTTAAATGGACAGATTTATACCGGTGTTCACAAGGAGGGTGGCCCGCCCCCCTAACAGAACCAGCCGCCCCACCTTAATGGCTTCCAAATGTTTTCTAATGTTCTACCACAGTAAGCTTCAATATTTTCTCATATATAACTGAAATATTGAATCGCGGGAAATAAATCCTCATATTTACTCCCTCCAGCTGTACCCTGTGCATTGCAAAGCATATAACAACAACCGTAGTTTTATTTTTCACACTGGAGTCAGAGGAGGAAAAATTATTACTTATTTGTTGACTTCAGAAATGAAAAGATGTGGGTGTTTGCCTCCTTCTAAGTCCATGAGGCTAGTTTATAGAGGTGCACAAATTTCCTTAATTTTGGGAGATCAGAGATCTGCTGATACTTAGATAAGATCAGTGGAAAAGATCTTCTCATCTTCCTCCACAAAGGTCTGAAAATCAGCCACTGTCCTCTTTTGCTCTGCTGTCAGCTCTACCTAACAAGTTACAACAAATTTGTATTGTTTCAAGGGTATTTAATGCTTTTCAATGATATAAGCGTGGAGCATTACAGATATATTGTGACCTTATTAAATCTGACAGTTTAAAAAAATTGGCATCAGCCAAAATCTAAATCACATGTCGAACACAAGGCCCGGCCCGCGGGTGACTCCCGTGTGGCCCCCCGGGGGGGGGATTTAATCTTATATCAATGGTAAACTTTAACTTTATGGTTAAATGCAACAAAATTGATTTAATTAAAATAAATGAAATAAAAATAAATCAAAAAATCCTGTCCCTGAGCTGTTGGCTTGAAGTAACTG